TCGATATTTGGTGATAGAAAATTAGTAAGGAATGGAAATTAAATTTGGCATATAAAACAAAGGATAATATAAAAACCATAGGACATATAAAAAAAGATGATGAAAATCAAAAGAAAAAAATAGATTCAGAGCTTGACATTGAAAGAGTTCATTATTATTTCGTGACAGCCCTAAAGACATTTATTTGATTTGCAAAATAAACTTGTGGGTTATGTACAAAGAATTTGATTTTTTTTTAAGAAAGAATGATGGTTCAAACCTTATACACAAAAATATCACTTTAATTGGGAGAGTTACCTAATGATATATATATATATATATATATATATATATAAAGTATACTACTTTTAAAAGCATATGAATTATAACAAAAATAAGGGGCACACCCAGGATGGCAAACAAGAAGAATAAGATACAACTAAATAAATTAATTAAGAAAATACTTAATAAAAAGAGCAAGGAACCATTTTTTTTTCCTGAGATAGTGAATGAATTTATCTAATTAGTAAATAATACAAACTTGGCAAAAAAAAAGTATAATACTTAATATACAAAAGAAAATTATACATGAAAAGAAGATGAAATAAAAATAGAAGGTCAAAAGACAAAGTATTGATAACATGAAATTAAAATAATACACAACTATTAAATTAGCCTGTAAAGATTTGGCTTATAATTTATTTAGTTGTGGAGTGAAATTTTATAATCAATGTAAATATATTGTTAATAAAATTTAAGTATCTTTATTAGTATTTTTTAAGTTTAAAAACATGTCTTGATTTTGGTGAATCTCCTAAGAGAAACTCACCTATTTTCTTTATCATCAAAGTATACAGCAATAAAATATATTGAAGGACCAATTATTTGATAATGCAAAATACACTTGTGGATCAACATAAGATTGAAAAATTGATAAGGTAGCTAGGGTAAAATGATAGAGATAAAAAATTCAAAACCTTCCTAAATTAAAAGTAAAACAAAAAAAAGTGCATTAACCGTATAATGCTCAAAGGGCTAAAATATTTTGATAATGCACAATACACTCATGACTCGTGGATCAAGATAAGATTGAGATCTTGACATTAAAAGGCTCCAATATTTTTTGGAAACTTAGTAATTGACAATATTACCCATAACAACTCCTTTTTTTTTAATTTCTAAGTAATTCAAATTAAAGGCCAAATATTGTGTTTATAGGGCAATGTTCTGCCACGTTTGTTTTCCATTTTTGGGTCAAACAATGTGGTTTGCCGAAAGCTTGCTTTTGTGGGGAATAATCCATATTTTGCTACTCAAAAAGTGAAAACAAACAGACTACAAATTGCTTAAAACGATCACTCTCTCACTCAAAACCATAATAAATTGTTTAATTTGTACAAATTGTAATTAATTTGGCCTTTAATTTATTAAGAGAATGTACTAAAACTAAAAGAATTTTAAGATTACTATATGATTTAACTATTCTAGAAAATACACATCCATATATATATATATATATATATATCTCCTTTCTCTGTTTTTTTTTGGTCAATTATGCTTAATATATATCCATACATACATATTTACAAGAGTAAAGCACATTGATTTTCCCTCTACTTAATCTAAATTACATATTTTTTTCTTTTGAAAACCTATATGAACTTTCTTTAAAATCAAAATATCTATTGCCAAACCTCGCTTTTAATTTCAAAATTATACTTCTATTCATCTAACACCATCAAATTATAACATTAATATTTTCTTTTGACCCAAATATCCCTCCCTAGCATAAACATTACTTAACAATCATTTAAACACTTCTGTTTGCCAAAAAAAGTTGATTAGTTTTATAATTCTAAATTTTTATTGTCCCAATAATTTTAAATATTTAAACTCATTCATTTAGTAATCTTTTAAACATAATGTTGGCTAAAAACGTATTTCAATTTTCAAGCATAAATATTTTTAATTATTTTATAAGATTCTAAAATGATATAATTTAGAGCATGATATTAATATGTCAATTTTGTAATTTAAAATTTTTAAATATATTTCATTAAACATATGTTTATTAAAAATTGCACAAATTTTTGATCAAATTGTTATATTTTAAGTAAAAATTAATTAAATTTCTCTAAATTCACTAAAAAATTAAATAGATAAATAGTAAATATTATTAATAAAAAGATTTACGTTTGAGTACCATTTTCTTGGACTTGGTTTTCCCTCTAGTGTTCATTATGCTTCTACTACACATTTGAACTTTCAAATCAAATTTTAATGATAAAATGTAATCAATATTTTTAAAAATTATTCAATCTAAATAATTAAATGTAATTGCAGGGTTTTCTCTACTGGAATGAAGAGAAGCCACCTCCCATTTTCTTTGGATTTGGAGAATCCCATTTTCAAACTTTTCAAGGGAACTTTTGATTTGGAGATTCCTAGAGATAACATAAACTAAGTAATAATAAATAATTCTTTTCAAAACATGATAAACCTCATTTATTAAAAAAAATTCTAATTATTACTGGCTTTAACATTTTTATGATTAATTAGACAGTAGTGCTTGTAAATTTCATGATAGTCATATGAAGATTCGTAACGAACTTTGATAGGACCTTTTTTTAATAAAAAAATAAAAGAAAAAACCAAAACCTACAAAGCAAAATGAATTTATTATTTTCTATTGATAAGCTCCAATTACCTTGGAGGAATTAAAAGAGAAAGTTTTTTCGTTCACATAATGCTTACACAGTTATTGTGAAGGTGACCCTAAAGTTCGGTCATGATGGTGCTACCCAAATTGATTGGCCTAGTTGTGTCGGGCACCTGGTTTAAATTATAAAATATTTTTTTTTAAATTTAAGATATCAAAATATAAAATATTTTGAGAATATTAAAGTTTTATCAAATAAGTTTATTTTAATATTGCATTCTCTTTCTATTTAATTTCCTTCCCTCCCTTTTTTAATATATTAAATAAATGATATTTTTATAAGCTTATATTTTTATTTTTTTAAAAAATAAATTTGTTAAATATTTTTAATAAAATTTATTAATATATAAAATTTTATTCACAAGTGTCTTGTAATTTGGACAAAATGAGTAACACTTATGGTTGTAAAAGTGACCAAATAGTTTGGTCACCCAAGCATGTTGGCCTAGTTGCATTGGCACAGGGCTAGCTTGAACACCTATTCTCTCTCCCACAAATATATGTGTGTGCGCGTGATGTTTTTATTTTATTTTTGAAAACTAATTCTAGTTTGTAGTATTACTTTTCTTAATATTTTTTTGTGTATTATGTTGCCTTTATAATGATAATGGATTTTTTCTTATTTTAAATTTTCTATCATTTTTCAAAATGTTAAATTGATTTTTTAAATTTATATCATTATTTTAAAATTTTCTAACCTTTATAATGTTAACTGTTAAGTGTATATATGCTTTAAAAATTATTACCTTTATTCCTAATATTAGTTATATAGGAAGTGCATTTAAAATAATTATACTTATTTTTTTGTTAATTAATAAAATTATTTTCGGATTGGACAATTGGGCTAAAATCTAGCCTAAACTTTCAAGCAGCTAGATACCCGAACTACAAATGATTAGGGGTTGGGGAGGAACCAAGCATGTGTAGATCCTTAGTTCTTATACTCTTTTCAATCCTAAATATATAAATTTTAATTAATTCACTCATATGAAGAAAAATAAGTTAATTTTTAACATTTAAAAAATAAGAGCAATTTCTTTCTATTATACCTTTTTTTGCTGCAATAATTGCATTGAATTATTTAAAACACTTCTCTTTTGATTAATTAGATTCTTGATTCTCGTTATTAAAAGATTAGTTGTATCAATTTTAAAATTAACTGATGGCACTTGAGCTTTATATATTAGAGCACAAATATGAATTATGCTTGATAGGAGGCCAACCTATCAAAGTGGTGATTTAAGTTGAACATTTTTTAATTCATTCAAAAAGTGTGCTCATTTAGCCCGCCCTGTCTAACTTACAATCCATGGCAAGCTAATTTGTCAATCCATGAATTGGTCCAATTTTTAATTTTAATTTTAATAAAAATAGATATTATTATTTTATACTTATTTTAAGCTTAATCTTATATATTCATGTTTAGAACATAATTTCATGTTTACGTTCTTATTTTTTTTATTGACTCACCATTTCTATATAATGATAAAATAATACTGTAAAATAGATTAACTTGCTTATATGTAAGTTATGAGGTAAATTTTATCACATGATTTTTTTTTAAAAAATATGAAAATAATTTATATTTAATTTTTAGAAATTTGTAATCCAATTTTAAAAATTTCAAAAAAATATATTTAAAAATATAAAAAAAAAATCAGGTTGGCCCTCCCAACCCACCTATAGCAGGTTGTGTTGGCATTTTTCAACTTGCCATCAATTCTAACTTGCTTTGTCAAACTGGTGAGTTAGCTTGTATAAGTACATATAAGCTCTAGTGTGTGTGTGTGTGTGTGTATATATATATATATATTATTTTTATTATATTTTGCCCGAAGCTCTAGTTCATCAATATAAAAATGGATAAAATGAGAAGGTGATTTATTAATACTACACATTTGCCTTACATCTTGAACCAAAATAATGCTATGAAGAGTTGGACTCGAATTCTCTCTGTTGTGCTTCCACAAGTTGAATATTAAATGTCATATTTCAAGGCTTTCAAGTTTATCTTAATAAGATTTGCTTTACATATAAAAGTTAAAATTAAAAGCTCTCTGCTATTTTTTAATTAATGATAAAAATTAATTAAGAATACGAATTTGTTTTATAGCTCGTATAGCGAATTCAATCATGGTCTATTTTCTATGCGAAGAACTTGTTATTGCTTTTCTTATAAAAGCTTAAAAAGAACATATTATTGCTTCGTAAGCGCTTACGAGGATCGTCCATCCGTCATACCTAAACCCGCTATTATTTTGCATTCAGTAGCCACGATAGAAATTGCAGAGAAAGAGCTAGAAGACAAATTGGATAAGAACACACTACTGGGGTTGAAATGGCGGATCCATTAACTTGGGCCCCAGATTTTTCTATCCCCACGTCTTCAAATACCGTGCCCCATTTGTTCGCTTCTCAATATCAGGCATGCAATTAGCTGGTTTAAAGTGAGCCACTTTAAACGTAAGCCACGTCTTCTTCTTCTTCTTCTTCATTCCACCTGCAGCCCTGGGTTCGTGGGATCTTCATTCTTCGTGCTTTCAGTGATCAACGGCTCGGATTTGTCAAGTTTTGGACTCTTGAGAAGGTAATGATGATAATCTCCGTTAATCATTGCGGAAAACTTGTTTCAATTTTGGAATCTGCCCCCCTTTTGTCGTATGCCTCTGTTCAATGTTTAGTGTTGAGTGTTCAAGGACAGCCGAAACTTGTGTGGCCAGATGATAGCTTGTCTTTTCTTCATAGTTTGTAGAAATTGTTTTAGTTACTGTGTTTTTAGTTTCTTGTTTTTACCTGCATGCAAGTGCATTTCTGAGTTTATAGTGGTATATCACAGCTTTTGAGGATCTTGTTGATTAATGAAGACTGTGTGTTTTTTTGGCTTTCAGTTAAAAAGATTAATATGCCTATGATCAATTAGTTGTCTAGAACATAGGTTTTGTGTTGGATTACCTTGGAATACGTTCTGTATGTCGTAGCCACAAACTATTAGCTTCCAATATGTTGTAGACTTGATTTCAATCTTTCCTTTTAAGAAATTATAGCTGTCCCTTTATTACTAGACGTTAAAATGTATAAATGGGCCAGGCTAAGACTTCGCTCATGAGGATCAGCCCTTATTAACACAAACTGATATAGTTTATGCTGCATTGTGTTTCTGTGTTCTGTTTTTGGCTGTGTGTTAAAATGAGAATTGTTTATATAGAGTTTCTTATAGATGATTTTTGTGACACTCAGAGAAAATCCAGATTTTAATTTATTGTGTTTCATTGATGGATTCTGAGGTGTTAATAGTAAACTGGCACGTTATTTACGGAAATGTAAGATAATATAATTATATGAAATTTTCCTGTTTTTCATCTTAAGATTTTTGTGTATTTTTAGCTTTGATGATTCAGAAAAAAACTGACCCCCTCCAATCTCATAAAGGCTCTACCCTTGATTGAAAAGCTTGTATGATAGATTTCACACACTTGGATTGTAAGAATTAAATTATTTCAGATCGCAGTTTTATTGAAGTTTCTGGTACTTATTAAGGCCTCACAGCTCTTCATTTTCTTTCTCTGTTTTGTGGATGGTTGAATTAGCCCTCTATACTTCTAGTTTTGTAATTCATGTGCCTGGATTCAGGTTTTACTTTAAAAAGAACCATATGTATGGAAGTATGTAATGTCAACATTTTTCAGTTTCCTCTTTTGTGCAGCGTCCAATCTTCTTGGGAGAGGATCCTCTCCTCTTCCATTCCTGTTGTCTTCACCTCCTCTTCCTTTTCTAACTGCAAGATTAAAATTTGGATGATTCAGATTTGATGTCTTATAAAATATTTCTTTTTTATCTTGTTTTTACTGCCGTTTTAAGCTCTTCAAACTAATTTTCAGCAGTTTGAATTTGATGTTTTTATCTATTTTTATAATTTAACATTTTAATAAAATTTTTATAAGAGATCAAATTTGAACCATCCAAATCTTGATCTAATGGCTAGAAAAGGAAAAGGAAAAGGAAAAGGAGAGGAAGAGAATGGGAAGGGAAGAGAACATAGTTAATTGGCTGGTTGTTATCTTATGAACAATTGAATTTCCTAGAGACTAGTTCAACAAAGACCTTGTATCCTCTTTTAGAATGGAATTTGTTGGTTATTTAATTTGGTGGGAAATTTTCTGTGTTTCCTTTTGGAAACATGCTCTAATGCTCAGAATGGTGTGTATAGTTTCAGAGAAAATGGTAACTAGGACGGTGGATTTTCGGTCAGACACAGTGACAAAGCCAACGGAAGCAATGCGAGCTGCCATGGCGAGTGCTGAAGTGGATGATGATGTGCTAGGCTCTGACCCAACTGCTTCTCTCTTAGAAAGAGAGATGGCAAAGATAATGGGGAAGGAGGCAGCCTTGTTTGTTCCATCAGGGACTATGGGAAACCTTGTGAGTGTGCTTGTGCATTGTGATATCAGGGGAAGTGAAGTGATTCTGGGAGACAATTCCCATATCCATATTTATGAGAATGGAGGCATTTCCACTATTGGAGGAGTACATCCAAGACCTGTGAAAAATAATGAAGATGGAACCATGGACATTAACTCAATTGAGGCTGCCATCAGAGATCCAAAGGGGGAGCTTGTCTATCCAACCACTAGACTTATCTGCTTGGAAAATACTCATGCAAAGTAATCACTCTTCCCTTGTTACTTTGCTTATTTTTGCGTCCATAACTGTCTCATGATGATGTTAGATTGGTTTTATGCCTGTGCACTTTGAAATTTGTATATTTTGTGACTTTAGAAGCTACCTGATTAGCATATTCTGTGACATAGTCCTATCATTTGTGATCATCAGACTTGACTCTATAGGCACACAAAAGTTTTGATGACTTTTTTATGCTATTCTTTCATCCAAAGAGCAATCTTATGTGTTGACGATCCATTTTACTTGTTGGCCTTGGTGTGAATCTTTTGTCCAAAGGTGAAAGCTCAAATCTAGAGTCCAGTCCTAGTCAACAGTTGGCATTTGAGCCAGTGTGATTAAGTAGCTGTAGCAGCAGCTGTGTCTTGAGTCTTGACTAATAGTTACAGCTGTGGCTTATAATCTAACAGTGAGCAGATTTTGGCTAAGGTGTGACAACAATTATTCATGGCAATGACAAAGGCCTATTTGTGAAGCCAAGTCATAGTCAGCATGGAGCCATTGAGCTCAGGTCAATCAAGTAGAGAGATTTTGTACCTTGAATAATAATCAGAACTTTTGGTCTAATGCTAAATCCTCAATCCAACACCAGCCTAACCGATCCTGCCCAATGTTCACCCCTCTAGTTGCTTTTATTACTATGTCTTTGGGCTCTGAAAGTCCCTTCCCTTTCTAAACTGATGGAAATTAAATTACTTTGACTGCAGTTCTGGTGGGAGATGCCTTTCTGTAGAATATACAGACAAAGTTGGAGAATTAGCTAAGAGGCATGGACTGAAGCTTCACATCGATGGAGCTCGTATTTTCAATGCATCAGTTGTAAGTACTTTGTGGTTTGCCTATAATTTGATTCTACTATGGATGGTAAAATTGTGTAAATATCTGCTAACATAAGATCTCGAATATGCAGATGGATTATATTCAATGATTGGCTCACTTGCTAGAAAATTTTGATATTTCAGGCACTTGGTGTTCCTGTGGATAGGCTAGTCCAAGCAGCAGATTCAGTTTCAGTATGTAATATGATTTCTTTTCCTTTTGGTCTGGCTGAGATGCCAGCATGTTCTCTTGGCATTGTCTGTTTTTATATGTTTCCATTCATAATATTTTAGGAGACTAATCTATTAGAATTTTAAACATCATTCATATCAATCTAAAACTGTGTTTCTTTTATAATTCTAATGTATGGAATCAATTTAACAGAGTTTTCATTTTTTCAATATATGAATCAGGTTTGCCTCTCAAAAGGTCTTGGTGCTCCAGTTGGATCTGTTATTGTTGGCTCCAGTAGCTTTATCACCAAGGTACTCTAGATATTAATAGCAGTCATCTTCTTACAATAAGAACTTGACACTTGTGTGTTCTGTAGGCTAGGCGGCTCCGAAAAACCTTAGGTGGCGGAATGAGACAGGTTGGCATCCTTTGTGCTGCAGCACTGGTTGCGTTGCGGGAAAATGTTGTCAAGCTGGAGAGTGATCACAAGAAAGCTAAACTTTTGGCTGGTACATTTCCTGCCTCATTGTCAAATTAGTCCAAAACATGTCCCATCAAAATTGGACTCACTCTTTTTTTTAAAGTTGATTAATTATCTTTGTCCCTCCATTTCAGAAGGATTGGATCAAATTAAAGGACTTAAACTAGATGCTCCTTCTGTGAAGACCAATATTGTGAGTAACATTATATGAAAACACAAGCCCTAAGATCTACTTTTCAATTTTGTTTGTGAATTTTTAGTCTAATAATCTGATTACTTAGCTTTGAACAAATATTCCTATTAACTGTTATGAGCTTCTGGTACCAGATATTTATTGATATTGAAGAAAGCTTAAGAATTACAGCAGGAAAGCTATGCAAGGACTTGGAACAACGTGGCATCCTTGTGATGCTGGAGAGCTCTTCAAGGTCTGAATGATTCTTGTTGGATTTTTAATTCTAGTTTTTATGGACAATGTGGGTGATTGGTTAATTAATTAATTAATGTTTTACAATCTTCAGATTGAGAATTGTGTTGCACCACCAAATATCAGCAAGTGATGTGCAGTACGCCTTGTCATGCTTTCAGGTTTTGTTGGCTCATTCCTTTTACTGACAACATTCCAAGATTATTTATGAGAAAGTGTAATTTTTAGTTTCTGAACTTTGAATCAAAATAACTCAATTTTCATAGTTTCTTGATTTGGAACAATTTAGTCCTTATGGTTTTTTGATACAATACAACTCAATCATTATAATTTCTTAATTTAATAAACTATAAGGATTGAATTGTACTAAGTTAAAGTTCAATGATTAAATATATATTGAGAGAAAATTTAAAGACTAAAAGTTATATTAGCCCCTTATTTATTTAGTTCTATTTCTCTCTGCCTTGACACACTAGTAGGGCCCACCACCCAGTTGGGTCCCAGTAGCCACGTCTCTCCCCTCATGCACGCAGGTGCACACACACGCATTGACTAATTTATTGAATGTTGCAGCAAGCGGTAAAGGGGGTGCAAAATGAAAACGGCATTTAGTCAGAAGAATTTGAGTTTGCTGCCTTATATATAAATCCATTGGGTTGTATACCATTGTGCCTCTCTTTATCATTTTCATTTTCGCTTGATCTGTGTCATGTGGAACTTATGTAAGAACAATTGGTCCTAGCTACGTTTTAATAAATTATATTAAGTGTATTTTGCCTAAGTTGTTTGAGATTATTGAAAGTATTCCTGAACATAGATCCATGTTCTTCTTGAATACAATGGATTTTTATTTGAATAAAGGTGCAAAGATATTCAGAAATTTTTTCTCCAAAAACTTATAGTATCCTTAAATCAACAATAATATATGGGTACCCATTAATGTGATAAAACATGATAATATTTTTCATTTTATTAAGTTCTAGATGGAACTTAACAGTCAACATTAAGCTATTTTCACATATTGGGAAGTATTAACTTTTTTTATAGAGTTTATGAATACCCATATATCAGTGTTAACTTAAGGATATTAAAAGGTCTTGAAAAAATTTTTTTTTGGATATTTTTAGACTTTAACTTTTTTTTATTAAACAAGTGTTAGTTTAAAACGTCTATGCATGCTATTAATAGCTGTACGGTTGAATCTGCAATGATACAGATTAAAGATATAATGCATGTTTTGGAACAAGTTGGAATTGGAATCAGTCAAAACCACGTTTTGGTAGAAGCAACGAACAAGAAAAAAAGTGTGTTTCTTTTGCTTACGCCAAAACGTGATTTTGACTTGTTTTATATTTTGCTTCCAAACTTAGGCTTGGATAAACATGGCTATACTTTTAGGTGAATAATATGAAACAAAGAAGGGTGGGAAAATCAAATGATTGAGTGCAGCTTGGCCCCTCTACATACACTATAACGCAAATCAGGTTGTTCTCTAAAAAAGTATGGTGAACGAGGTGATAACTTAATATTTTTCCTATTTTTTCTTTAATCTCTTTTCTTTTTTTAAAAAATTACAAATAAGTCTCATTTAAAAAATATATTTACAAATAAGTTTTGCAATTAATTTTCTCGATGAAATGCCACTAATATTCTTGGACTCACTTCTTTTAATTGAAGTTGACTTGTTAAAAAATAATTTTTTAAAAAACATTTTTATTGTTAAAATATAAATATTTTGTATTTAGAAGTCAAATATTGTATTGTAAAATTATAAGTAAATCTTTAAAATTTACTAGTCAAGCTTCTTATATCTACAAATTAAACAATAAAGTCGCTCAAGTGTACTTGTAAATATTAAAAAAGTTTAACTTGTAAATCTTCGATATTTGACTTATAAATATTAAAATGTTAAAATTTTATAAAAATATTTTTTTTAATTTTCTTTTTTTAACCTCTCAACACCTGCCAATACTTGGTCCTGTCCTCGGCCAACACGTCGATCAATATCAGTAAAAGCAGGGGACATATGCGACATTCTACAAGCAAAAATAATTAAAAACAATTAGAAGTCAAAGAAATTACAACCGAGTCTCTGGAGGTTGAGTGTACTTTGGCCACATCACAGGACTTGGCAGGGTCGCGTAAAAGTCTTTCGTTTCAGTCTGAACCAATTTAATTTGAAATGATTCTGTCCTATCCAATTTTTATAAATATTAATCTTTCATAATCAAAAAAAATTAAATTATTTTTTTGAGTTGAATTGAACAAGAGACTAAACGTTTAGATCACTTATTCTAGTATAGTCCTATTAATTTATTTAATATAATTATAATTAATTTATTTTTGATAAATGTTTTAAGTATAATTGACATTAAGGAGATGATTATATGAAGATTTATTGAGTTTGTTTTAAATTGTTGTTGTAATGTAATGTTGTTGAAGTTTGTTGAATGTTTTTTTTTTTAAGTTATAAATTTAAATTATTTGAACTATAATTGAAATTTTTTTCTTGTTGTTGGAACTTATTTTAAATTTATTATGGTTATAAGTGATTTTATTATCTTGATTGAATTTATTAGGTTGAAATTGATTATTGTCTCTCATAAAAAAAAAAAATAGCTAAGTGAGTACTAAACTAACAGGACTAGTTCTCTAATTCTATGGACTAAATTCATTTTGTTAATTTTCAAGGTTATTATCGGACAAGACTGAATTACGAGTTGCTAACTCAATCTTTTTTATAAAAGAGACTAAATTTTGAATTAAGATAAAATTCAATACCGTCCTATTCTTTGTACAACTCTCAAGACTTAGCAATTCTTTGGTTGGACTTTTATATAATTTTGCCTTTAATTTCTCCTCCATCTTCTTCTTCTTCGGCCAAAACGCGCTCCTCTATTGTTGCCGACACAACAACACAAGCATTCTCCGACCACGCTGCTTCTTCGGATATGCCTCCCTCTGTAATCTTCTCTTTCTCTTCTTTTTCTTCTCTGGAGAAATTGATGTTTAGTCTTATTCTTGGCTTGATTTAAATGCTAAATCTTCCTTTCTTGGCTTTATCTTCAATTCTCCCTCCACAAGCCCTATGAGACCAAGAAATGGTAAAATCTGTGAAATCAAACAAATATAACTCAAAATAATCAATTTTCCTTATATTTTATGGTTATTATGTGTAGGTAAAATTAATATGATCATAAGTTTACAGTTTCGTATGAGCTAATATTGATATTGATATTGATATTATAGTTAAAACATGAGTTTTTGGTAAAATTTACATCTCATTTTTCCAATATTTATATAAGAGAAACTATGATGTGTCACTTGATTTTTTAATAAACAAAATACAAATTTCTATTTATCATATTTTTTTTTAAATTGTCTCCTATAAAATCAATGTTTATTTTTACTAAATAAATTTATTTCATTAATTATAGGGATATTATAAATTATACTCTCCTATTAGAAAATATAAAGCATTTGTTAGGGGTTAAATATCAACAAATATAAAAATATTTTTAGAGTTTCAAGGTATATTTAATATTTTTTCTCCAAAATGCCCCTAATAAGTGTAATATTAGTGAGTGGAGGGAGTAAATTTTTACAATATTAGCCATAGATTGAATTAATTTATATTTAAAAGATGACGTTTTCTGGTAAAAGAACAAATTGACCTTAAACCATAGGGCCGAAAGTATATAGAATTTTAAACTTATTATTTGTACAATGTATCCCTCTAATTTTTGAAAACGATACAATATGCCTCATAGTTAAAATTTTAAACATTAGTTAATCCAAAAAAATAATAGAAAAGGACATCAAGAATTGTTAAAAAAAGACCAATAAACTTTTCTTAGCCCTTGTTTTTAATTTTTGGGTTATTTTTTATCATTCTTTGATCAACTAATAATCAAAATTAACTTTTGTTAATAATATCGGTATTGCACCATTTTAAATAGAGCCAATAATTTGAGCCAAGTCCAAACTTTTCCCAAAAAATTTAAGACCTAGCTTGGTTATATGGACTTTTTAAAAGATTATAATACTTTAAACTCGATCCGAATAAGTTTGATTGCTAAAATTTTTGGCTCTATATGCATATAGAGATTGTAATTTTGGCTAAGCTCTAACTCGGCCAAAAAATGTTAGGGCAAGTTTTGGCTATATGAGCTTTTAAAAAAAGGATATGATACTTTAAGCTGATTTAAATAAATATGGTCTGAATTGAATCCAATTCGAATAAACTCAATCTGTCCATAATTTTAGAAGGTGGAGGGGCAAATTGCACAAATAATAAATTTAAGATCCTAAATGCTCATAAATTTATAATTTAGGAGCCCACTTGAAATTGATTTACCTTTTTGGTATTTAACACATGACATGTTGCTGTTGGCATAATTTACATCTCATTTTTATTATTACTTAAAATTTAATATTTAATGCTTGTTTATTTTACAAAAAAATCACTCATTTTTTTTGAAAATTTTATTTTGTGAGCTGTTGGAATGTTTGTTTAAAATTTTGAAAAGTAATTAGAATAAAATTTTTTTAATTTTTTTAAAAATTATTTTTGATAACTTATGAAATTCATATAATACGATAGATAAAAGAGATAATTTTAAAAAGGTAGCATATAAAACCTATTATAAAATTTTAAAATAATTAAATAATAAATTATTTTTTAAAACAAGAAATAAAAAATATCATAAAATTTAAAAAATAATTAACTAATAATTATTTTTTATTATTATAATCAAATATGAAATAATGTCTATTTTTTATAAAAACTTTATAAAATAAATATATTTTATAAAATTTTAAATTATTTAAAAATTATATATTTTTTAATTTTAAACAAACCGCACTTAATATTTTATAGTTTATCTTTTGAGATTTATAATTGCACTTTAGTGTCATCTAAGAGATTTTCATTTATCATTTTTTCTTAAAATATAAAAGTATTACTTTTAATAGAAAGATAATACTTGCGTACATTTTAAAAAAATAAAAATTATATAATACTTCTATCATTATTAATTTTTTTTAATTCTTAGTAAACTGAAAAATTATATTGACATTAAATACAAATTAATAATGAAAACAAATTTAAAAATTTAATTTGAATGAAGCAAAATAAAATGCCTAATATATCCCTCTTGCACTCAAATTCTCCTGCAGGAGTCCGTTAAGCTTCATACACGCAGCTCGCAATTACAACTACCGCATTGGCTCTTGAGAATTGGCCACTCCATTCACAAGTGTTTGAGTGTACAATTCGCAACGACGAAGGAAGAAACTATGGAAGACAGAGAGGACTTGAGGTCAATTTTGCCATTTTTGCCGCTTCTACTGCGTTCTTCCTCTCTGTTTTGGCCTTCTCAGGTTGTGGAAGCACTGAAAACTCTGGGAAGGGGGCCTCTCCATAGCTTAGTTGACTCAGGCGAGCTCTTGTTCCTCGCCATTTCTGACCTCAGGAACTCTCTCTGTCTCTCCAATCAACCTCTAGCCCCTTCCGTTGCACAAGGTTACGCCTTCTTCTTCGACGAGGTAATACGCAGTTAGCTTGGCCTAGCAACGTGCTAATTTCATCTGGGTTGCATTTTTATGGGTTTAATGATCTCTTTCTTTCGATATTTTTTATTGGGGTTGATTGTGTGTTTTGAAAAGATCGGGCTGTGCTGGTCATGGAGTTGGTTAATTGGAAGTTCAAGGTCTTGGTCATTGACTCATTGGAACATGCAATGCACATGCACACCTAATAAACTCAAAATGGCGTCGTTTTGTATTTTTTACCCTAATATTCCTCTGGATCCTCAAGGATTATTAGGTGAAATATTAGGCCTGATATCTTGAATGGTATTGTAGTATCCGTGTTTGAATCTACTATTGGCCATGGCGTCAGTTTGACTGTTTAGCTAATTTTCTTAGCAATTTGAATGGTGTTAGAAATTACGAAGACATGGAGAATTTTTAGGAACATGCAGGACGAAATTGACAGAAAAGTTTTTTATCCAATTGAAATTGACTCCAATCTTAAAGGACGGATAGTTACTCTTGTTGAAGTTTAATGGTAACCCACTCCCCTTGTTTGGATGTTCCAATGTCATTAATGAAGTGTGGTAGCTCTGGCGAGTGAGATTTCTGATGACTTATTTGAAAATGAAAATAGAAGAAAAGTGTGGAGTAGGTTAACAGAGAAGATGAAAATTTATTGATAATGTAATCCAATACAGATGGTTAATATAGAGGGGCTGAGAAAATTGGGCGTGGGTTGGGTTGGGATAGGCTCCATTTCATTCTAGCTCACCCCATTGCTTTTACACATCAGATTAGTTGTTAGGATTAGGACACTGAGTCCCCTCCATTCCACTCCTAAGCTGTCCTCCCAATCAAGCCTTAAGTGGAGGAAATATGGTCTAGAAGGAGTTCTTGTGGCCTTTTGGGTTCCTGGATTTTCTTTTTATTGATGATTTAGATTATAGGTTCTCATAGCAACCACTGAAAAGAAAGACCTTTTTGACATTTTTTTTTGTGCTGAAATTATGACTCGTTGATTCAGCTGATGTCTGGAGTGGAATCTAAGAAGTGGTTTGAAGAGGCAATTCCGGCATTGGCAAATTTACTTTTGCGGCTTCCCTCTCTGTTGGAAGAACACTATCAAAGTACAGGTATGGTTATAGATGGAGAGAGAGGAGCTGGTTTACGCTTGCTGAATTCACAGGAAGCTGGAATAGTTTTCCTCAGCCAGGTTTGCTTTTATAATATTTTATGTACTTTTATTTAGCCATATTGACCTCTCTCTTTAAGTTGGAAGTTGGTTTGAAAATTGAATTCTATAGAGTAATGAATGGATATAAGTTTTATATAGATTGGAAAGAATTAATTGCTTCGGTCCAAAATATAAGCATTTTCTCTCAGTTAATTTTAGTTTAAAATAACCAACCTAGTATGTGTAAATTTTTTTTGCCATTTTACCTCTTGTGTTTACTAACCTAGATCCTTATGTAAATTTATCTCTCACTTGTCATGAAGTGCATTGGTAATTGGGACAAGGTAAAACGGGAAAATAATATATATTTGTATGAGAATGAGTACTTTATTGGTATGTGGATTTTTCTTAAAAACTGCTTATATTTTGGATTGAGGGAGTATAAGATATAGTGATATACAAACTTATTTGTTCATAAATGTTACCAGCATGACAGAAATTGATGATCAAATCTGCTAAAAAAATTGCTTCAAATCAGTTGATACTTGATTCTCATTGTCCATGTGATGCATTCCTGGCGAATCCTTCTTGCGGCATTAGGGCCTCCAATGGCATGAAAATTTGATGAGATTACACAATTCACCCCTGCAGCCAAAACATATACGAGGGGAAAAAAAGAGTGAATAAAGGAGTTGATCCAGCAGAAGGAACTAGAGTATATGATCTAATAAGACAGAAAAGCAAAGGGGTGAAGAGGGGATGTACTGATGAAGAAGTAGAAGGGGCAGTTAAGGAGTAGCTGGAGAGGGTATTTGAAGGGGAAACTGACTGGGAGAAAAGAAGAGAAGAACTTTCTGAAGGAAGTTGGGAGAGAGTCAGGCAGCCAGCCTCTCAAAAGATAGAACTTGTCTTATTCTCTTGTTTGCATTATGAACTTTGGCTGTATGTGCTGTGTCACTGTGCCTGTATGGGTGAGTTCGTGTTTTGCATTCTTCTACAGTTTTGCCTAGGAGGAAGATTCCAATTTATACAATAACATTCCTTTGTGCTGGTCTTTAGTGTGGGATCATATTAGGTTATTGTTTGGAAGCTTGTATCTCATCATATCCATGCCTTCAAGCTAGTCAGTGTATTCTTCTTTGGAGAATTAGAAATACTTTGTTTAATAAGATGTGTGGAATCCTTGTGCGTTTATTGAAGCATATTTCAGGGTCTTTATAGATGCAAGAGAGGCTACTCTAGGGGGGAAATTACAACTATGGACATAGGATATTAATGAAATAACTAATATATAAAAGGTTCTAAATAACTACATTATTCGCACTATTTATTGGAAGAAGACATCCTTACCTTTAATGGATCAGTTCTCCAGCAGCGAGATGCATTGTTTTCTAGCAAGTTTTATTTTTTATTTTTATTTTTTTGGAAACAGGAGTCTGCAAGGAATGTGAAGAGCAAGCTTTGATATCACTTGATGCAGGACAAGCGGGAACAAATGAGAGGGAAAGACAAAAGGAGGGAGAAATATAGATTATAGAGAAATAAGGGTGGAAAGGAAGGAGGAAGGAGAAGTAGACAACAAATAATTTCAATCAGTCAATTAATCAATAAAGGTCTACAATAGGAATTAGCCCTATGGCTATTTGTTGAGCTCTCAGTACAAGTATTAAAATCATAATAGCTTAACTTAAACTTAAGGAATCATAAAATAGGAAACAACCTAAGAAAGCCTAATAGGAAACAAACTAAAGTCATAACAATAAATTACTAAAATACTAAATGGATTGTTCCTAATATCCCATCAATGAGTTCCATTGGATTTTATAGACCAAGAACTTGAGCAGGAAGTCTGTTAATAATGAACAGCAGTTAAAAGTGCTTTCCTGCTATATCATGTTGGAATGATCTTTTGAAACAGAAAGACTCTTATATTAGAGAGAAGATGGCTATTTTTCAATTCAGCTATCTCATTTTGTTAAGGTGTATTAATGCCAGGAGATTCTAAAATCATGTCTTTGGTATTTTACCTTGAATTGAGTTGAAATCATGTTTTAAAACATGAAGAAATTTGAGCTTACATCACATTTCTGTTTCAACAAATAAATCCTTGTTGTATGGAGTGCAATCATCAATAAATAAAATGGAGAAGTTACTTGAAATGCAAATTTTTCAACCATTTTAATGTTACGTGCTTTAACTGTAATGGCATGAACATTACTTGCCGTATAATTACACTACATAGTAATACTTGACTGCTATCACTGCACCTATGCTACTAGTACTGTTGATAACTTTGGCTGTTCTTCTGTCATGCTGTTCTCCTGATTGTGATAAAAAATATAGTTAATATGGTGAATTACTTGCTTCTTTTCAGGAGTTAGTTGCTGCTTTCCTTTGTTGCTCTTTTTTTTGCTTATTTCCAGTCAATAACAGAGCTTCCAAAGATCTTCCTATGATCAACTTTGATGGATTGTTCGCGTAAGTAACTTTTGGCCATATTTTTTGGAGCCCTAAACAGTCTGTTATGGCAGGTGATCTCTATGTTGGCACACCATGACTTGCTGTGCTTTCTGTTTATAGCAATGCATAATTACATTTGGATTTTTAAATGAAATGGCATTGTTCCATAACGCCATTAGCAATTATGCTTGTTCTGCCATTTTCATTTTCATTTTGTTCATTTGTAGTAGTGGTGTTAGAATGGTGTAGCCAATGCCATATTGTGAGTGAGAGAGCTAGAGCTAGAGAGGGAGAGAGAGGGTGGGTGGTGGGAGAGATTTTGGAGCTGGGACTTCCTTTCCAAAGGAGCCTGAGGGGGAAAAACATCAACTTTAAAAAATTTGAGAAAACTACATGCTCACCCTCAAACCTTAGCTAATTACATCTGTGGTATATAGGATTTTAAAACATAATACTTTACTTTCTAGATACTATCACGGAAATTGAAAACATTGTACATGGATTAAAATTCATGTCTAACAATCACATGATTGTAATGTGTGAGGGAGAAATTTAGGGAAGATGGTGGAGACAAAGTTTTTCTTTTGTTGATAGTTTAGGGTGGTAATGCGTCATGTTTTGAAGGCGTACAACAAATTTGTAATTACCAATTATGCCATTGTTCTGGATCATAAGATCATAAATGTTCTGTACATAACATGATCCTTCTACAATCCTCAAATAAATGAGGTTGGGGTCATTTAGGCTTATCTGGATTATGAAATCTTGCTATGTAAATCAAGATCACGACAAACTTAAAAACTACTATTTTCTTTCAGGAGGCCCTTTTGCAGGTAGTGACAATATTATCGAAACCTGCATTGCCAAAATTTTCTCTTTAATTATGTTTTTCCCAAATGTTTCTAAGCCTCGCACATGAATCAAAAGGATGATTAGTCTATGGCATTGTTTGTTTGCCCCCCCCCCCCTTAAGGCATATATTCTCCAGTACAATTTATTGTCTATTTGCGCAAAGTATTGAGTTTCTTGTTTCATCTTCTGTCAGAGAATTCTGAATACAAAATATTGGCCATGAAATTTTCAGGAGTCTGTATGATGATTATAGTCACAATCAGGAAAATAAGATTTGGTGCATCATTCACTATCTTAAAAGAATAAGCTCTGACATGCCAAAGGGCATTGTCTCGTTTGAGCGGAAAGTACTTCCCTTTGATGGACATCACCTTCAAGTTTCTTACCCTGATGCTAATTTTTGGAGCGCTTCTGTGATTCCTCTATGCAGGTTTGAGGTAGTCAATGAAAAAAAATTATTTAGATTGTGAAAGATTAATATTTTTCCTGCAAGTTTCATTTATTTTGTCATGTGCTCATTTGGCATATAGACTCACAGTTCTGGACGCATAGAGGATCAGTCAGGTGCAGCTGTTGAAGTGGACTTTGCAAATAAGTATCTAGGTGGTGGTGCTCTTCGTAGAGGCTGTGTACAGGTATGATGAGCCTATGTTCTCATCTATTATATTTTATGCTTGAATATTTTGGAACATTGGCATCTTTCTTAAAAATCTCATTTCCTGTATTTTATGAAAATATGCCTGCTATCTTGTTTATGTGTTCTACAATTGTTCTTTTTGTCTTGTAAACATTTTGTTTTCCCTCTAGAAAATCACCTCTTTGATATTTAATACAACTTTTTAATCATCTGATATAGGAGGAAATACGTTTCATGATCAGTCCAGAATTGATTGTTGGCATGCTCTTCTTGCCTTCAATGGCAGAAAATGAGGCCATAGAAATTGTTGGTGTGGAAAGGTTCTCAAATTATACAGGGTGAGCAGTCAGTGAATATAAAATCTAGATCTTAGTATAATTGAAATTCATTGCTCGCTGTATCCATGATAAATGTGATGGATATCCCACCACCCCCCCAAAAAAAAGAAAAAAGAAAAAGAAAAGAAGAAAGAAGAAAGAAACTTCTTTATGGCAAGGTAAGTTGCGTAAAAAACAAAAGGAAAATGTAGGACTTGGGGTGATACGAAGTCAGCTCTTGAGAATTTGCAGGTTCGAAAAACCAGTTTGTGAAATTTGTATGACAATGAGCTGATACATGAAATTAAGTTGCAAATATTAGGTTTTTGTTGTTCTTGTTCCCTTGAGATAATGAACTTTTGATGCTTTGCATGTTCACAGAGAGAGAGAGAGAGAGAGAGAGAGAGAGAGAGAGTAGAACTAATTGACTTTTTGTCATTTGTCAAGATCTCAATCTCAATCATAAGATCTTAGGATCCAACGTGTAGAAATTGATCCTGGTATTGGATAAGATTGAAATCTTGTAGATTCACGCTTAAGATTGTGATCCAGTTGTATCATGTCTATATCCTATAACAAATAGTGTAGTCATCAGGATATGTTTAGCAGTAAATCAGTGCTAATTATGCTTTGTCTAATTTGTTTTCCTGCAATTTTTCACACTAATTGACCAAACATAATTTGAATGCATGTTACTAGGAGAATATCTTTTAATTAAATTTATACAAGCTATCTCAATCTTAAGGCCCTAGAACATGTTTTATACTGAGGCAAATCATTAGGCATTGTGTGATCTTAAGAAATGATTTACGGATTCAATTGTTGCCATCATGCCTTTCAAGTCTTAAATGTGATTTTGATTTCATGCGAACCCTGTTTGAGCCTGCTTTAGAAAGACCATATAATTTGCTTTATTTAACTGTATTAGCCTTTGACCTGTTCAGCCTGAAAACGGAGTGACTATCCCTTTTCATGAGAGTAGTAGCACATTTGCTGTTGAAAAGGAATTTTAAGGTTGAATGGGGAGGTTCAAAACTATTCAATTCTTTGGTCATAAATGTGGAATAAAGATTCTATGTATATGTTTTTCCCCTTAAAAAGGGAAAAACAGAGAAGTAAAGAGTTAGCTTTTAATAAAGTCTAGAAATTTTTAAAGGAGGTATAAAAAATCTATGTCTGGGCAGAAAAGGAGCTGAAAAGGAAAGAAATGGAGAAATTGATTCAATAGGAGGAAAAATGGGAACAAGGTGGCTTCAATTATTGTATATTGTGCTAGCATATAAAACAGACTGAAAATATGTTGCTGGTATTTCTGTCTTTCTGTGTTGTTGTTTGCATTCATGCAGTGGGATTAAATTAGATATGAAAGTAATAATTTGATGTGATGCCAAATATATTAGATTTTAACTTTTCAGACTTAATATACTGATGACAACTACATGTCCTGATTTGTTTAGGTACGCCTCCTCATTCCGATTTTCTGGTGACTATGTGGATAAAAGGGACGTAGATGAACTTGGAAGACGTAAAACCTGGATTGTTGCAGTTGATGCATTATGTGGCCCAGGAATGAGACAATATAGGGAAAAGTTTCTTCTCCGGTTTGTAAATCTTGGTTTATTGAACTGCTGGTATATGGGATGATGAATCCATGCAAACAAAGGCACTAATATACAAATATTATAATCCTTAAACCCTTATGTTAGACTATTGTGCTGCCTTGAAAATTGCAATTCAGTACGCAACCTTAGTCCTGCATTGTTCCCGCGAAACTATTTGGAATTGGTTTGGGACACTTTTTCTCAGTCAATTGGAGGGTGGTTTGAGATTCAGGGATGATGGATAGTCCGGGAACACTAATTTCTTGAAGCATGAATCATAAGTGAGGTCTAGATGAGGACAAGCTGGCCAAACTAGTGTTTTTGCCCCCAATGAGTGACAAAGTCTTGTTTATAAAATTTTTTAGTTTACAAAACCTAATGAACTTTAGTCTGTTGTTGGGAATCACTCCAACCTGGCAACTGAAGTTCCTCGGTAAAGCCCTAGAATTTTTCTATTATTTTCTTTTGGCATTTCCAAACATATTAAGTAAATCAACAACCATCTGATTAAAAGACAGAGCAGCAAATCTGTAAAATTATTTGGTTTAGAGTGGATTATCATGCAACTATTATCTTCTTTTTCACTTTTTGCAAAATGCAAAAATAGTAAAATCCTGATTTCAGCTCCATTAAAAAAACTGATTGCTGCCCCTTCATTCCTGCAGTGAGGTCAATAAGGCATTCTGTGGCTTTTTGAGTCAATCTAAGTGTCAGCCGTGCCAGGAAATATTGCGAGAGAACAGATGCTCTTCTGAACTGGTTGGGTTTTCCTTTTGACGTATAATTTTTGAATAGCCTGGACAGAAGCAACTATAATGTTTTAATGAGAATACATCTTTAAGATACATTGATACAATAAATTGTGTATCTGGTACTCATTAATCTTTGATTGTTATGGTTTTCTTGTACATTCTTTGTTTTATCCATAGGTTTATGCTTCCACCTCGACATCTATGGAAGCAAGTGAAGGAAATTCTGCAGATGAAATATTAAAACATTCTCAGAAGAGTCGTCCTAGTACAGAGCAGCGCGATAGTATTGGGATTGCTACTGGAAACTGGGGATGTGGTGCCTTTGGAGGAGATCCTGAAGTGAAGACGATAATTCAATGGCTTGCTGCTTCTCAAGTAATTTTATATCTACAGCAATCATGATTATTATGTTGAAATTCTCATTTTTTAGTCATCTGAACGAACCGGAAAAGTTTACATGCACCTAAACCTTAAAGTGAAAGTCCCTATATGTATTGTCTTCGTTGCACATGTAATTCAATTTGACTTGGCATGGTCAAGTGTACTTCTGGGACATTACAAAGTTGATGAACAATCTGCATATGTATCTTCTTGCTGGGTGTTATGATGAGTGAATCCTTAGGTTTCGTCCAAGTCAAATTCTCTCCCTTAATGATCTTAAAGGTGCTGTTCCCCACATTGACCTAGTGCGTTAAAGATTTTAGTCCCACACTGCTCCCTTAATCCAACCCAGGTTAGCAAGGGGTGATGTCATCTTCTCTTGCTAGTTGAGTTAACCCGTTTGGGGCATTTTGGCCCTTTCAGTGGTGGATCATGTGATTGAAACTCAGTGCAATTGGAGTGGCTCGAAGTCATAACATCTGATTGAAAAACGGATGAAAATGAAACAAATGGAATTGAACTTTTTAAATTTAATATTTGGCATCTTGTTTCTTGATTTATTGGAAATGTACAAGTACCGGGAATCTAGTGTTCAAAACTAAAAGAGAATTTGTCAGTCTGTTGACTGTGTGAAATCACATGAAACTAGTTGTTCAAGACTCTCACATCTGCTTACTCATTTACTCTGATTTGAATTATTTGGAATAAAATCTTTTTCAAATCTGTTAACTCATTCATGTATCCTAGATTCCCCCACTTCAACAACAAATCTTATATCAACATCCTTTAAATCTCCTCAAGTCCCTATAGAATCCTAGAGTTTCTGTTCACAGGTGCTGTTTGTAACCCTTGAATAGCACTGTAAATTATTTATACATGAAATCTAAAAGATTCCACATCATATACTGTTTGTGTTTCTTCATTCAGGCTCAATGGCTTTTGGTTCATATGTTCCAGGCTCAAAGACCATTTATAGCATACTACACATTTGGCTTGGAGGCATTGCAGAACCTAGACCAGGTATCTGGACCTTTCATTCTTAGCTTCCAGATCTGAAAGATCATTGAAATTACTTATATGCATACACCACCAATTTTCTATAGCTCATCCAATTTATCTTTTGCTTTCTGATTGGAATAACATCGGCTTGATTAGCTTGCATGTGGTCGTACTTCAATATTTGCACGACTAATGTATGGTGAATCCTTCTCTTGGTGGTTTTCTTAACTCAGCCTCCTTCCTAACTCATTTTCATTCCTCGCTTGAGCAAAATCTTCCTTGAATTAACTATCCTCATTTCACATAGCACCATCAGCACAAGTCAACATGGATTCTTGGTTTTTCAGTTCTGGATGTCCCAACATATATGAATTGGATCATCCTCATGTTTTAGTGCTTGGTGTAAATATAGTCTGTTCTTGTGGCAGGACCTAGCATCATCATGGATATACATATTGATACATGGAAATTAGGAATAGTATAGGTGCTTACTAATTAGAAGTAAAAGGGTGGTTTAGGAATTTAGTTTTACTTGCTAGCATTTTAGCAAATGGAAGTTGTTTACCGGAACCTCTTAGTTAACAACATTCCTTAAAATTTGGTAAATGATAGAGCACTATGGCATCATACAATCCATATACTTGACCTTACCTAATGGGATAAAGCTTGTTGCTGGCTTGCTGCCGCTGCTGGCATTTTCACAGCAAGAATGCCAGTTTCATTGGCAGCTTTTGCTGGCCCTATTTGTTGAATATAACTAAATCCCCACTCTATGCTTTTACCCTTAATTACCTTTACTATTCCTAATTCCCATGTATCTCACACACACAAACATAGGGTAAATTTGGTTTGTCGTGTTTTTGCAGGTTGCTGATTGGATTTTATCGCATCACTGGACGGTTGGGGACCTGTGGAACATGTTAGTTGAGTACTCAACATTAAGATGGAAAGGAGAGACCAATGTTGGCTTCTTCAAATGGCTCCTACCATCTATAACTGAGCATGATGATGTGAAGGACTCACCAAATATACTTGACTCTTAGTTGATAGTTTTTCTTTTTTCCCAATGTCCGTTCCCCCTTTTTCTTTATAGATAAGGTATAGGTCTGAAAATATATCATAAAGTATGATGTGAAGACTTTCAAATTATTATCATTATTGTACTGTACACAATGTTTTAGAGAGTAAAACTAGCATCAATTACCTTTGGTTCAATGGTAATTGGTTTGAGTTTAAATCCAGTTAAACTGTTAAAGTGTGAGATTAAGCAATCTCAATAACTAAGAAACTTAATCACTTTATAACACAAGATATTAATTACTTTATAAAGTATATTAAAGTGTGACACATACAAATGAATAGGAAGTTTATATTATATATGACAACCACACATTAATCACTTTATAACACAAGATATTATGCCACATGATCAATGCAACCACTTTAGATCTTTTAATTGAATCCATAGGCTAACAATTTGTATAGGTCTAGTTTGTGCAACTAGATTAGCCTCATTCTTCAATTGTGAGAGGTTACCTAGCTAAAGGCTTCTGTACTCACTCTTGGATAATGGGTTCCTCTTGAATTTTAAGGTGTCATAAATGCTTGATCCATATTGTTTATTTCAAGATTAGTGATACGAAGCATCATGCTTGATCCATGCTATACTTATAGGTTATTAACAATACTAAGTACATATACTAATGAAATATGTCAGTTATCATGCACAAACTCAATGGAGGCCATACTATGTGGATTTACTATTCTAATTTGCTATTATTTTAGGGTGAACTCTCACCTATCATGATTATGCAAGTTGAATCAATCATATGCAAATACATACTTAATACATATCTCAATAACTCAACATATTCATAATCAACAAAAACTTGCATGTTATCATAGCCATAAATCATCTTTATCACTATTAAGCATCTTTACCATACAACATTAACTCAAAATCAATATATCAACCAACAAGTCCATATTATCCATCTTAAGTCAATGATAACTTAATATAAATTATAGTTGCAAATATTATGATGTGCAATAATTAAAATTTTTTATTACCTTCACTCCTTTAGTCACTTAAAAGGAGCGCTCATGGATTCAATTCAATTTCAAGCTTTCAAATACTTTAAGAGCTCAAGAGAAATTTAGTCTTCAAAAATTCTCTTGTTGACATTGTGCTTACATGACTTTGATATCTCCTCTCCCTTCTTTCTGGACGCCAAAAATGTTTGGAGGTTTAACAAGTTATCACTTTATATAGAAATGAGGTGAGGAGTTAAGGAGAGGAGTTAGGTGAAAAATTAAGTGAGGAGTTAGGTGATGGACTGGGTGAGAAACATGTGTCACCTAATCCCTTGAAATAAAATGCGGATCCAAAGATTTAAAAAAAAAATTAATTATTGGCTATGGTCAGGGAATCTTTGGTTATAAAGATACCTCATTTCTTATATTCTTCCAAATCCTCGTTAATTATGAGTCATTTTTTAATGTATTTAAATACTCTTAAACTCTTAAAATATTACTGACCTAATTAAATCAAAAGGTATGAATTTGGGAATGTTACAATGCACGCACGCATTTCATACAACAAACTTACAATAATAAAGTTCTTCCCCTCCAATCCAAAGCACCAATTAAGCTTAAGCACGCCTCCAAGTAATGATATATACAACATTTCATGCTTATAAGTATGTTGAATCATCTCTTTCACGAGTGGGCGTTGTGGACATGGTGGTAATTATGTCATTTGGGATAATCTTCTTAAGATTCTTCCATAGCCTCCTTTTTCTGGCCATGACAATGGGAAATTGAGTCAATCCAAGCAGAGTCACAGGGAAGAACGTGATACTGTAGATTAAAGTTGAACTCCATTTCTTGTCCTCCATCCTAATTGTCAGCAAAATCATTGACCCAAAAGCTAGCATCGTCGTCATCAATGATATAAACAACAACGTGAAGCCCATTGTGAGTTTTAAGTCAGAGATTTATAGAACTCTTGCATCTGAAACGGCGACGTAAGGATCGAGAGGAACAACATCATTGAGACTAGAGAGCTTGCGAGCTTTATGACATCTATGATGGTGAAGAAGAGGAAGAGCGGACAGTTGAGGAAGATGGGGACGCCGTTGTCGTTGGTGCCACCAGGGATTGTGCAGGCTGCGGCAAAGACGACCGTGGCGATGAGGACTGACACGGCAGAGCACGACTGAGCTGTCTCCTTGATCCACTGTTGGGCTTCCTTGAGCATTTCGGGGTGTTCTAAATCAAAAAGCTCTCTTGCTGTTAACTTATCGTCGTTGCAATATAACTGGTAAGGACAAGGAACTATCCTCTTCACTTTCTGCATATACATATGCAATATATAATAGTTAGCTGTTTTCAGTGTGTATATACAAATTAGCTTTCTGATATATATTACCTTTTTTTTAGAAGCTCAAAGTCATGGGATTGCAATTCCTATATATAAAGAAATTCTTAAATACACACACACTCTTTTCTAGCAGGGTAGATCTCTCTCCCCATGCTATATGCCTATATCTCTGATTCTAACATGTATACTCATGTGTGCTACCAGGAACAGAATAAATGGGCAAGATCAATTCAATATTTTAAGATTCAAGTTTATGAAAAATCATTTCTCTTTGTTTTAAACCCAACTTCATATGAGACTTTTCACTATAACTCAAATTTATTCATATTTGAACAATCTCATAACTTCAAACAAACAAAGTTACTCCTAAAATTGGACAAAACCATGATTAAATATTAAAGACATGTAGTTTATGAGTATTGTGTATCACACACTACTCATAGTTAATCTCCAACAACACAAACCTAAAGGTTAGTTACTATTGTTGTGACCAATGGAACTCCTCCTAAAGTTGGAAGGTAGCCCAGGAAACATCCAAGACATTGAGTCCATGGATTTTTTGTATGTCACACATAGCTCCTTGTTAAAACTCGAAGGACAAACAAATGGTTAGTTAATAGGGTTAAAAAAACATTTTTCCCTTTCAAAAAAGTGTGAGATTAAGCAATCTCAGTAACTAAGAAACTTAATCACTTTATAACACAAGATATTAATTACTTTATAAAGTATATTAAAGTGTGACACATACAAATGAATAGGAAGTTTATATTATATATGACAACCACACATTAATCACTTTATAATACAAGATATTATGCCACATGATCAATGCAATCACTTTAGATCTTTTAACTGAATCCATAGACTAACAACTTGTATAGGTCTAGTTTGTGCAACTAGATTAGCCTCATTCTTCAATTGTGAGAGGTTACCTAGCTAAAGGCTTCTGTACTCACTCTTGGATAATGGGTTCCTCTTGAATTTTAGGGTGTCATAAATGCTTGATTCATACTGTTTATTTCAAGATTAGTGATACAAAGCATCATGCTTGATCCATGCTATACTTGTAGGTTATTGGCAATACTAAGCACATATATTAATGAAATATGTCAGTTATCATGCACAAACTCAGTTATCATTGACAATGGACTAAATTAAATGTTATATTATGCCTAATAAATATTTTAATAAAAATATTTGAATTACATCCAGAACTTTTTGTAATGAGACTGGACACAACAATTTTCTAAAAATAGAACACATTTAAATAACTTCACAAGGATTAGGAAAAAGTAGTTAAAAATAATTCATATTATTAATATGGCAAACAATTATCACTACTTTTCAAGATTATCCTCTAACTAAAATCAATCTTAGTTTTATTTAATTTCTTTCTTATATAATCTCTCTCTACAACATAATTAATTATGGCATTTGTGAAAAAAAAAAAAATTAATACTACTGACTGCTTGCAAAGTGTACTACATTATGTTAACTGGATCACTGCTAGCGGATAAAAAATGTCTTATATTTAGGATTAATCAAAAGTAGTACTTTTTACAAATTTAAAGATATTAACTACTGGTTCTTAGGACCTATGAAATTAGTTAATTTTTTCAAATATAATTAGCATTCGATGGAGTAGTATTTACCTACCTCTTTGAAGGTCAATTACAAAAAAGTTATCTGCTTGTTTCACTAATTTATGTATGGGTAAGACTTAGCTTAAGTACTTAGTCTTCTATACTTAATATACTTATATCTAATCAAATTATAATAAGTGGATCTTAATGTGTTAATAAAATTAATAACTAAAGTTTATCATAGAATAAATAATTTCTAACAGATCCACACACACATATTAATTAAATAAAAAAAAGCATATTAAATATAAGACTAAATATATAAGTTTTATTTATATATTTTTTAGCGTCTCCTGTCATAAAAATTTCAAAAGTGACCCAGCATGCTCACCTTTAGCCACAAATTTCCAGATAGCATAAGAGATCTTGGAAGAAACTGCAACAGTGGAGATTTAATATGAAGAACAATTTGTGTTTCGATTATGATAAGTTGTAATTAAGTAATTAATCACATACAATAAAGAGAACAGATTGTGTTGACGAGCACTAGGGAGCAAGATAGGCACGTACCTGGAGATGGTGAGATAGGTTTGTTGACCTTGTTTTTTCCATTTTCTAAATCTTCCTTAATATTATTCCCTCTCATAAACCCTTCATCATCGTAGCCTTTGTCGGGAAGACCTGTTGCCCAATTTATATATCGTTAATCCCAAAACACTCCTCAATCATACATACCATTGGACTTGGCTTTGCTCCTCTGCAATTGAGGGATAAGATTTCGACCGTCCAAACTAAACAGTCCAAATTTAATATTTAATATTTTTATTTTTATTTTTCATTTATTAAAATAAAACATTTATAGGAATTTAAAACCTTCTAATAAATTTGATCACCAATTTGAACAGTTTAGATTTGTATTGCCAAAATAAAAATATATAAAAATTTTTAATATTAAATTGAACATTCAGATATATTTTGGATAGTGCATATGGCAAAATTTTTAATAAATTTTTATTTGGTAATACAAATCTAGGACTGTCCAAATCAGCCAACAACAATAGCCCAAACAAAAAAGCCTCATCCTCACCAGTGGAGTCAACTATATGAATTGTACAACATCATTTACTCTATTATTATCAAATTTTAATAATGGTGTTAAGTAAGAGGTCTTGGTCAACAATATTTATAAGTGTCTTTTTTTTGCCTTCCTCCACCCTCTTAATGGAGCCCAAAATTATCTGTTTCACTTTCCTTACTAATAATTCTTGTGATCTTTTTTGTGCATATCCAAAACTATCTTAAAAAATTTTCTATCATTTTTCTTTAATAGGTGCTAGTGCTATACCCACTTTTTTTGGCATATGCTTATTTTTATTTTATTTTACATAAGCAGATTTAATTTATTAAAGTTTATATTTTATAATTTTTATAAATATTTTCTTCTAATAAATATAAAATTAAACTTAAAATCAAAACATTAAATTCTTGAAGGAGCCATGAAGGAGCGGCTTTGCTCCTCTCTATGGAGGCTGGGAGAGGCAAGGACGGGACTTTTCAACGGAGGGAAGCTAAATCCTTTTACTTGTGGCCTGTTTTTATTAAGCTCCATTTGGTTTCGCCGAAAACGATGAGCCCCATGAAAAGGAAATGTAAAAAGATTTGGTTAATTCTTTTTTATTGGTTGGAAGGAATTTGGTTCATTGTAAAAATCAAAATTGATAAGAAAAGAGTGGAGTGGAAATAAAGTTAAGGGACGAGTAAGTCCTAGGATTCATTGGAGTCAAGGCATGCCTTTCATGCTCAAACAATGCTTAACAGCAAAAACTATAAATCATCTATTAACCATGTTTTCATATTAATATATAGCAAAATTTAAATTGACGACCTTGTAAATTATAAATGCATGTGTGGAGGGAGGGGGACCAATAAGAGCCACATCTCCACACCTAAAAAAAAATTAATACTATGTCTATGTTAGTTATACACTTTCAGCCCCAAAATAAGTGATTAAATTTAAAATACGAATTTAAAAGAAAGACAAAAGCATGATAATGAGAGATAGAAGGAAGAGAAGTTGTAACGTACAAGAATAAATGAGATTGTTGTGTATAAATCCTGCATTGGAATTATAGCTCCTGAAACTGAAGGCATTCTTGAAAGCAGTTGAAGACAGCCCAGTCTATATCATTCTCTTTCTTTAACTTTCGTTTTTTTTGAACAAACATTCTCTTCAACTTTCTTATTGAAACGCTCTATTTCCTCTTCGACGACTCTAAGCCTTGGAATGCTACTTCCTTTATTCCTTCTTTGTCAGTAAACCACACTGCTACATCTGCACCGTTTTAATACCTTCATCAACTCAAATGTCCTCTTCCATCAATATATAAAATGATTTACTACATATATTCACTATGCTTTCATATATATATAGAAGTATAGATAGATACCAAAATGCTGGCCAATGATAGCGATTGTGAAGGATGGAAGTGAAGTCTGAGTCTCTGTAGAAATGTTTCTGCATATCATCCACATATCGCTCCATGCGCTTCAAAATACTCAGCGGCCGTACTTGGTGGCTCTGTACACCGGAGTTTCGCCGAGGTCGTTCCGCAGCTCCAACAGATTCTCATCGCGGTCTGTTTCAGCTTCTTCTCGTCTCGTTCCCGACCACAGCGTCCACCATGTTCACTTGCTTGCAGAACACACACTTGGTGAAGAAGCGTGTTGTAGTTTGCATTCCCTTCCTCAACGCTAGCCATATTAGCTTGTACTGAAGCATGTACTGAAGCTCCCGGACGAGGCTGGGGTCATCAGATGAACGAGCCGCGACGTGGATCGTAGTGTCTCGGGCCAGATTGAAGGGCGCATCAGGTCCAGGGGCTTGCCGGTCTTGAAGAAGTTCTGAAGGAAGACCCAGTCTCTGCGTTAAAGCGTCTGTGCGTCTTCATTTCCATGGCCTTCTCTCTCACTCACAATTCACAGATTAACAAGCTATGGGGCTATTAATTTCCACGAGTTTCTTTGTTGGTGGGTTATTTATGTATATCATTGGTCTCAGCTACCGCTACGAGATTGAAATGAAAATAAAAAACAAGTGTCGTTTTTATTGGGTTGTTGGAAAATAATCAAAATGGAATGAGCTGATAAAATAAAACTGAAATAAAATAATAGAAAAATAAGGGTTTATTCGATTCTATTCTTATTTTTTATTTTAAAAACTGTTTTACAATACAAATTTAAAATTATTTTGAAGTAAGTAAAATAAAATAAAATTTGTTTGATTATGTCAAGTTTAAAAATAGTTTTAAAATTAAAAAAAAATGAACTGATAGTGATAGTTATAGGTGTCAATGGTGATAATTTATGATAAAAATAATTAAATAATTATAATTTTTGATAATCAAGTAGTGTATTTTAGAATGAGAAAATAAAATCAAAACAACTTCAAGTTGCTTCTATTTTTTCTTTTCAAAAATAAAAAATAAAACAGTTTGTAAAACAATTAATGGAAACACTTATTCAAACAAATTTTTAATTTTTTTAAAAACAAAAAAATAGTATTAAAAATAGAAAACAAACAAGTTCTTAATCTGCATGTTCTTATAATTTTGCTCAATTTTCTATTATTTATTTTATTTTTAATCAATCCCTTATAATTTAATCCTTATATATATTAACCCTTGAAGATTAAAATTAATAATAGAATATTTAATTTTACAAAACAAAAAATATTCTTGGAATTTACAAAAATTTAATTTAATACTTTTGGCCAAAATTGAAAAAAGAATTTAATTGATTTAATGCATTGTTTACATTTTTATTAATTATTTTATGAAAATTATATATGTATAAAAAGTATTTTGAAGACAAGTTAATTATATAAATTTTGACTTATACTCCCTTTTAAAAATATAAGACATTTTTTAAAGAGTTAGATGTTCAAAAATGTAATACATTTTTAATCTTTAGCGATGTAATTATTATCTTTTTTTTTTAAAAATCAATTGTTAGTTGTGGCCAAAGAATCTTTGGTTATAAAGATATCTCTTTTCTTATATTCTTCCAAACCCTCATTAATTATGAGTTATTTTTTAATGTATTTAAATACTCTTAAACTCTCTTAAAATTTCACTAACCTAATTAAATCAAAAGGTGCGAATTTGGGAACGCTCACACTTCATACAACAAACTTATAATAATAAAGTTCTTCCCATCCAATCCAAAGCACCAATTAAGCTTAAGCACACCTCCAAATAATGATATATATAACATTTCATGCTTATAAGTATGTTGAATAATCTCCTTTGTAGGTGGCCGCTGTGGACATGGTGGTAATTTTGTTATTTGGATAATCTTCTTAAGATTCTTCCATAGCCTCCTCGTTCTATACTTGATAGCCATGACAATGGGAAATTGAGTCAATCCAAACAGGGTCACAGGGAAGAATGTGATACTGTAGATTAAACTTGAACTCCATTTCTTGCCCTCCATCCTAATCGTCAGCAAAATCGTTGACCCAAAAGCCAGCATCGTCGTCGTCAACGATATAAACAACAACGTGAAGCCCATTGTGAGTTTTCGGGCAGAGATTTATAGAACTCTTGCATCTGAAACGGTGACGTAAGGATCGAGAGGAACAACATTACTGAGATTAGAGAGCTTGCGAGCCCTACGACATCCATGATGGTGAAGAAGAGGAAGAGCGGAGAGTTAAGGAAGACGGGGACGCCGTTGTCGTTGGTGCCACCAGGGACTGTGTAGGCTGCAGCAAAGACGACCGTGGCAACGAGGACTGACACGGCAGAGCACGATTGAGCTGTCTCCTTGATCCACTGTTGGGCTTCCTTGAGCATTTCGGAGTGTTCTAAATCAAAAAGCTCTCTTGCTGTTAACTTATCGTCGTTGCAATATAACTGGTAAGGACAAGGAACTATCCTCTTCACTTTCTGCATATACAAATGCAATATATCATAGTTAGCTATTCTGTGTGTGTGTGTGTGTGTGTGTATACAGATTAGCTTTCTGATATATATTACCGTTTTTTTTTTTTAGAAGCTCAAAGTCATGGGATTGCAATTCCTATATATAAAGAAATTCTTAAATACACACACACTCTTTTCTAGCAGGGTAGATCTCTCTCCCCATGCTATATGCCTATATCTTTGATTCTAACATGTATACTCATGTGTGCTCACAAGTAACAGAATAAATGGGCAAGAGTAATTAAATATTTCATCTTTATTCAATATTTCAAGATTCAAGTTTATGAAAAATCATTTCTCTTTATTTTAAACCCAACTTCATATGAGACTTTTCACTATAGCTCAAATTTACTCATATTTGAACAATTGACTACAAACAAACGGGGTTACTCCAAAAATTGGACAAAACCATAATTAAATATTAAAGACATGTAATTTATGAGTATTGTGTATCACACACTACTCATAGTTAATCTACAACAACACAAACCAAAAGGTTAGTTAATACTATTGTGACCAATGGAACTCCTCCTAAAGTTGGAAGGTAGCCCAGGAAACGTCCAAGACATTGAGTTCATGGAATTTTTGTATCTCACACATAGCTCATTGTTAAAACTCGAAGGATAAACTAAAGGTTGGTTAATAGGGTTAACAAGTATTTTTTTTCCTTTCAACTATTTGTCCACGAGTATCTAATATTTTAAACTTTCACGTGTTTCAACTTTTAAAAATGATACATTGAGTACGTTACAGTTAAAAGAAGTTAACTTTAACTGTTATGTGTCCCAAAAAGTTTTATGAAATGACTCCAAAAATTACAAAAAAAAAAAGAATCATAAAATTACAAATAAGTACCTTATAAAAATTTAATATCAATTAAATCTTTTTTTAATTTTTTTTGTGGTAATTTTTAGGTCATTTTCTAAAATATTTTGGGTTAACAAATAGTCAAAATTAACTATTTTAAATTATCCAATACACCATTTTCAAAAGTTAAAAAAAAAAATTGTACAATATAAAAGTTTAGGATATTAGATTATGTTGAGCGAGTAGTTGAGGGGGCAAAATACCCTTTTAAGCCTAGTTAATACTTCAAACCAATGGAGTTCCTCTTGAAGTTGAAAGACAACACCAGGTTGGTTCCCTCCATCATAGTAGTCCATCCTCGCAACCTGGTGCAACAAAGTCCGATTATGGATAGTGATGTGAGATCCCAAGCCTTTGAGGGCTTTGTATTTCTTTAGAAGCTTATAGATCTTCTTCTGACGGTGCTTGATGGCCACATGAAGCACGTTCTGCTCGTCAGTCTGGCTGATGTGGGAGACGGCGTCTGGATGAACTTTGATGATTCTCTCGACGATCTCGACGATCCCGGTGCTGGCTGCTAGTAGCAACGGCGGGTAGTCATTACACTTGAGGGGTTTGAGGGAGGAGCTGGTCTTGTCGAGCATGGCCTTCCTTGTGGCGGCGACGTTGGACGGTTGAATCACCGGCAAGAAAACCTCTGTTCGGGGATCTCCATGTTTTGTGTGGGTCCATGAGTCGTCTTTCTCCACTAAGAAGTCAACTACCTTCTCTGCTTGCATGTTCTGCTTCTTCTTCTTCCAAATTTCTCTCACACTGTTCCATTCTACACGTATTCACACGTTTAATTAGTTTCTTTTAATTATTTTTTGTCAACAATTTTCTTGTAATTAATTAGTAATTATTCCCTTTGTTTCCTATTATAATACTTTTAGAATTGATTTTTCAAATTCACAGTCACATGAAATGTCATTTATTATTATTATTATTTTAATTTTATCCCTATTATAAATTTAATTTCATAACTTATTGTATGTTATCGTTTTTCTTATAATAGGGATAAAGTTGGAAGATCTTTTCACACACACATACTGCCTCGGTATTTATATATAAAAGGAAAAACTATATCAAACAGTTTAAATAAGTTGATTAATTATAGTTATTATGTCCAAAAATGAAAAGTCAGACTAAAATATTCTATGTTAATCAACATAAGTATACATTAATTATTTTGTTAATGTAAATTATGAAGGTTAATTTAGAAAATGTGTAATAAATGCTTATTGAAATATATGATTTTGTTTATATGAAAAATGAGTAAAAAATTGTAATTTCTCTTACAAATTGAAATAGAGGGAGTATATATTAAGAAAACATTATTGAAGTATAAAATCGTTGTCTTTTAATTATTTATTTTCATTAATTATTCTGTCCTTACCACCATTAAAAGTGCATCTTTATTAAGCAAGAAAATTAATAGTTCCCCTTCTTTATTTAATCCTTATACTCATTCTCATTATAAGAACTGAGTTATACTGCACCAAAATTAAATAATTAATGAGTCAATAATTGAGAGAAATTTTATGGACTAAATTAAATGTTATATTATGCCTAATAAATATTTTAATAAAAATATTTGAATTACATCTAGGACTTTTTGTAATGAGACTGGACACAATAATTTTCTAAATATAGAAAACATTTAAATAACTTCACAAGGATTAGGAAAAGTAGTTAAAAATAATTTGTATTATTAACATGGTAAATAATTATCACTACTTTTCAAGATTATCCTCTAATTAAAATAATCTTATTTATATTTAATTTCTTTCTTACATAATCTCTCTCTACAACATAATTAATAATGGCATTTGTGAAAAAAAAAACAAGTTAATACTACTGACTTTTTGCAAAGTGTACTACATTATGTTAACTGGATCACTGCTAGCGGATAAAAAAGGTCTTATATTTAGGATTAATCAAAAGTAGTACTTTTTACAAATTTAAAGATATTAACTACGGTTCTTAAGACTTGTGAAATTAGTTAATTTTTTCAAATATAATTAGCATTCGATGGAGTAGTATTTACCTACCTCTTTTGAAGGTCAATTACAAAAAAGTTATCTGCTTGTTTCACTAATTTATTTATGGGTAAGACTTAGCTTGTGTACTTAGTGTTCTATACTTAATATACTTATATCCAATCAAATTATAATAAGTGAATCTTAATATGTTAATAAAATTAATAACTAAAATTTATCATAGAATAAATAATTTCCTACAGATCCACACACACATTAATTTAATAAAAAACAAGCATATTAAGTATAAGGCTAAATATATAAGTTTTATTTATTTGTTTTTTAGCGTATCCTGTCATAAAAATTTCAAAAGTGACCCAGCATGCTCACCTTTGGCCACAAGTTTCCAGAGAGCATAAGAGATCTTGGAAGAAACTGCAACATACGAGACTTAATATAATTAATATGAAGAACAATTTGTGTTTCGATTATGATAAGCATATACAATAAGGAGAACTGATTGTGTTGACGAGCACCAGGGAGCAAGATAGGCACGTACCTGGAGATCGTGAGATAGGTTTGTTGACCTTGTTTTTTCCATTTTCTAAATCTTCCTTAATATTATTCCCTCTCATAAACCCTTCATCATCATCATCTTCATCATCGTACCCTTTGTCGGGAAGACCTGTCGCCCAATTTATATATCGTTAATCCCAAAATACTCTTCAATCATACATGCCATTGGACTTGGCTTTGCTACTCTGCAATTGAGGGAGAAAATTTCGACGGTCCATACTAGAAAGTCCAAATTTAATATTTAATATTTTTATTTTTATTTATTAAAATAACACATTTATAGAAATTTAGAAAACTTTTAATAAATTTGATCACCAATTTGAACAATCTAGATTTGTATTACCAAAATAAAAATATATAAAAAATTTTAATATTAAATTAAACATCCACATACTTGATATTAAAATTTTTAATAAATTTTTATTTTGGTAATACAAATCTAGACTGTCCAAATCAGCCAACAACAATAAGAACTATAAGAAGCCTTATCCCACTAGGTGAGGTGGGCTACATAAATTGTACAACATCATTTTACTCTATCATTTATCAAACTTTTAAGTAAGAGTTCTTGATCAACAATATTTATAAGTATTTTTTTTTACCTTCCTTTACATCTCTTAATGGGTTGAAATTATCTGTTCAACTCTCCTCATTAGTGACTCCTGTAATTTTCTTTGTGCATAATTAAACTATTTCAAATAATTTTTTATCATTTTTCTCTCAATAGATTCTAGTGCCGTACCCACTTTTTCTTTTATATGCTCATTTTAGGATTTTATTTTTACATAAGCAGAATTTATTAAAGTTTATATTTTATAACTTTTATAAATATTTTCCTCTAATAAATATAAAATTAAACTTAAAATCAAAACATTAAATTCTTGAAGGAGCCATGAAGGAGCGGCTTTGCTCCTCTCTATTGGAGGCTGGGAGAGGCAAGGACGGGACTTTTCAACGGAGGGAAGCTAAATCCTTTTACTTGTGGCCTGTTTTTATTAAGCTCCATTTGGTTCGCCGAAAACGATGAGCCCCATGAAAAGGAAATGTAAAAAGATTTGGTTAATTCTTTTTTATTGGTTGGAAGGAATTTGGTTCATTGTAAAAATCAAAATTGATAAGGAAAAGAGTGGAAATAAAGTTAAGGTGACGAGTTAAGTCCTAGGATTCATCGGAGTCAAGGCATGCCTTTCATGCTCAAATAGTGCTTAACAGAAAAACTTATAAATCATCTATTAATCATGTTTTCATATTAATATATAGCAAAATTTAAATTGACGACCTTGTCAATTATAAATACATGTGTGGAGGGAGGGGGACCAATAAGAGCCACATCTCCCACACCAAAAAAAAAAAATATTAATACTATGTTGATGATATATACTTTCAGCCCCAAAATTAAGTGATTAAATTTAAAATACGAATTTAAAGGAAAGACAAAAGCATGATAATGAGACATAGAAGGGAGAGAAGTTGTAACGCACAAGAATAAATGAGATTGTGTATAAATCCTGCATTGGAATTATAACTCCTGAAAACTGAAGGCATTCTTGAAAGCAGTTGAAGACAGCTCAGTCTATATTCATTCTCTTGAACTTTCTTTTTTTGAACAAACATTCTCTTCAACTTCCTCATTGAAAAGCTTATTTCCTCTTCGACGACTCTAAGCCTTGGAATGCTACTTCCTTATTCCTTTCTTTGTCATTAACCACACTGCTACATCTGCACCGTTTTAATTACCTTCATCAACTCCAATTCCTCGTCCATCATATATAAAATGATTTACTACATATATTCACTATGCTTTCGTATATATAGAAGTATAGATAGATACCAAAATGCTGGCCAATGATAGCGATGTGAAGGATGGAAGTGAAGTCTGAGTCTCTGTAGAAGTGTTTCTGCATATCATCCACATATCGCTCCATGCGCTTCAAAATACTCAGCCGGCCGTACTTGGCGGCTCTGTACACCGGAGTTTCGCCGAGGTCGTTCAGCAGCTCCAACAGATTCTCATCGCGGTCCTGTTTCAGCTTCCTCTCCATCTCGTACTCGACCACAGCGTCCACCATGTTCACTTGCTTGCAGAACACCACTTGGTGAAGAAGCGTGTTCCTGTGAGCATTCCCTTCCCTCAAAGCTCGCCAGCGACAAGAGTCTTCTGGAAGCATGTCCAGAAGCTCCCGGACGAGGCCGGAGTCATCCGATGAACGAGCCGCAACGTGGATCGCAGTGTCTCGGCCCAGATTGAAGGACTGGATCAGATCCCGGGGCTCGCCGGCGGTCTTGAAGAAGTTCTTGAAGGAGTCCCAGTCTCTGCCTAAAGCATGTTTCTGTGGTTCTTCCATTTTAGGGTCCACTGACGATCTGCTCTCCATTTCCATGGCCTTCCTCTCTCACTCACAACTCACAGATTAGCTTAAGCTATGTGGCTTTTAATTTCCACGAGTTTCTTTGTTGGTGGGTTATTTATATATAATCATTTGGTCTCAGGTACCGCTACGAGATTGAAATGAAAATAAAACAAGTGTCGTTTTATGGGGCTGTTGAAAAATAATCAAAATGGAATGAGTTGATAAAAAAAAACTGAAATAAAATAATAGAAAAATAAGGGTTTATTCGATTTCTATTCCAATTTTTTATTTTTAAAAACTGCTTTACAACACAGTTTTTAAAATCATTTTTTAAAGCAAAGTAAAATAAAATTTATTCGGTTATGTTGACTTTAAAAATAGTTTTAAAATAAAAAAATAAATTGATATTGATAATTACAAGTGTCAATGGTGGTAATTTATGATAAAAATTGATTAAAGTAATTATAATTTTTAATAATCAAAATAATGTATTTTAAAAATAAGAAAAATAAAATCAAAACAACTTCAAGTTGCTTCTATTATTTTTCAAAAATAAAAAATGAAATATTTTGGAAAACAATTAAATGGAAAACACTTATTCAAATAAATTTTTAAATTTTTTTCAAAAAAAATAGTATTTAAAAATTGAAAACAAACAAGTTCTTAATCTGCATGTTTTTATAATTTTGCTCAACTTTTGATTATATATTTTATTTTAATCAATCCCTTATAATTTAATATATTATATATATTAACCTTGAAGATTAAAATTAATAATAAAATATTAAATTTTACAAAAAAAAATTCTTGGAACTTACAAAAAATTTAATTTAACACTTTTGACCAAAATTGGAAAAATAAAATTTAATTGATTTAATGCATTGTTTACATTTTTATTAATTATTTTGTGAAAATTCTATATGTATAAAAAGTATTTTGAAGATAGGTTAATTATATAAATTTTGAGTTATACTTCCTATATTTAAAAATATAAGACATTTTTTGAGAAGTTAGGTGTTTAAAAATATAAAAAATTTTTAGTCTTTCAAGATATAATTATTTTTTTTTAAAGTGCCTCTATTGATAGTAACTTTATATTTATTATAGGGTGTTTAATAGGAATAATTATAAAAAGATAGTGTTCGTTTAAAAGTAGATAACTACTTTATTGGGGTTGAGATTTGATTAAAAATGCCTTATATTTTTTAACAGAGGGAGTAAAAATTATGTAATTAACTCTGAAATTATATAATCATTTAATAAAAATATTAAAGTTCTTAATTTTGTTCTTTTAAATGAAAAATTTTAAGGCTTTTAACTTTTTGAGATGAAAAAATAATTAAGAGAAAATTAATCTTTTAGTCTTCCAACTTTTAAGTCACTTATAACTCAGTCTTTCAACTATGACTCGCTGTGACTCAGTCCCTCAACTATAACTCGCCTATGACTCAATCCCTCAACTTTTAAATTACTTACAAATTAGTCCCTTAACTTTTGTTAATTTTTTTTTTCATGTTAACTTCTATCTCACATTAATGAATAAGAAGAGGGTATTTTAAAATAATATATGAGCATTTTTTTATCCTTCTTATTTGATAAAAAAATTTAAAAAAATTAAAAAATAAGGACTGAGTTATAGGTAAATCAAAATTGAGGGACTAAGTTGCAGCGAGTTATAGTTGAAGGACTGAGTCGCAGCGAGTCATAGTTGAGGGACTGAGTTACAAGTGAGTTAAAAGTTGAAGGATTAAAAGATTAATTTTTTCAATAATTAATTAATCAAATTATAAGAGCTCAATTAAAATAAAAAAATTATAAAAACTTAACTCAAAATTTAGTGAAATTGTAAGGATTTGCAAATATATTTTTTCTAAAATAATTAACGTCAAAGATTGGTATCTTGATTCTATAAGAATTTTAAATCCTTTCATATAGTGAGTGTCCACGTTATAGTCGTAGGATTTCATAACACTTGAAACATCATGTATGATGAAATGATGAGTCAAAGCCTAAAGGGGCATCCGGTTCTTAAAAATGTGTTTAAATCATTTCTCTGCAGCCATATGAACTATTGAATTAATGAAGATACAAGACACAATAAAAGATAGAGGTTTCATTTAATGTTCTATTTGTATTATTTGTGCCTACACCTTAGGCAATCGTTGGATTGAATTGACTATCTCTATAATGATACCTCAGATATTCTCTATATGAGTCTAAAAGTACTTCTTTTTAAATCATTAGTTATTAACGTCTAAAATCGGAAAAACTTCAATAATTACTAGAAAATGATTTTCTTGTACTTTATGCATGAATTGTTTATAAAAGTAAAGAGGTTACTATATAAAACATGTGTCGAGGATGGATCACGCGTCGAGAAGGCAACGACGGAGTTGCAGAAAAGAAGAACTCGACGCAGGGGAAAAGATTGGATGCCCATCTCGCGGTAATCGCACGGGGAAAGATTTGGGTGTCGTATGGGATAAGGATAAGAGGGGCCCTCGGAAGGGACAGGAGAAACAGTGCATCGTCACCATCCGTTGAAGGGAGAGGTGGAGAATTGACGGCAGCCGTTGATGCAGGGAATTTACATTGCTACTTAAAAAGAATCAAGTCCAACTCGGTAAACCCAGCTATTGTTGTTGTTGTTGCTGTTGTTATGTCTCTCTTTTTTATTTGAGCACGAGGTATATTTCCACAAAGGCGTCGGTGCTAAAGAAAAGAGTACGAAGAATAATTCACTTTGCTAATTATGGAGGTAACGTTCTTTGATGTGCCTCCATTGTGCAATCATTTTCATTTGCCAACTCATATTCTCGATTTATTTGTGATTATTGTTAATTGACATTAAATTAGAAATATTGCATGGTAACTAGGGGTGTTCATAGGTTCGGTTTGGTTTGATTTTGATATTTAGGTATTTTTCGGTTTGGTTTGGTTTTGGACAAAAACCAAACCGAATCGAACCAATCGGTTTACTTATTAATGGGACTTTATCGGCTTTTGTTGAAATCAGTTTGGTTCGGTTTTATGTTCGGTTTGATTCGGTTTGGTTAATGTCTGGATCAAGTTTTAATGAATTTATTTATTTATTTTTCTTTTTTATCCATATTCATTAAGCCTAATTTTTTTACTCCTTTTTTTATAAATAGAGGCATAAAAATATAATAAAATTTTAATATGCTAACAATAATTAATCATAAAAATTGATATTAGTAATAGTGTTTAGGATTAAAATTATTTAATGTTATGAATTTTATTCAAGTCATTTAAAAATATTTATCTACATATCTATATTTTAACATGTAATATATAACGAAAAATAACTATAAAAAATTCTAAACAAAATGTTTTTTGTAAATAAATTGAATATATGAAACTTTTAACTTGTAACTAATTAAAGGATAATCATAGCACGTGTGATAAATATATAATTATATATAATGAGGATTTTTAAGAAGTTGTAGACCCTATTTGAGTTTTTTATAATTATTATTAAATTCTCTTAGTTAAAAGCATAATTATCATGTGTATTAGAGAAATGTGCAATTATGCACGTCTGCTCGATGCTGTTGCCTTTTGACTTCCTTCAAGGTGTGCATGTGATAAGCCAATAATTATTCAAACATAGAGAAAGCAAAAAGTTGCCAAGTGTTGCTGTCTTAATCTAAAGCAATAAGATGATACTAATTGTTAGATTTTCATTTCTCAATACATACAACTTATGTAACCCCATGTCTTTAGTAATCATTTCTCAATATCATAATATATATCATAATATTCACTTAAACTATACCAAATGTCTAGCATCCAAAAAAGAATTGACATATTTAATTACAACTTGTCCTTAAACCAAAAAGAGACATTCATATGCTTGAAATTATCCAAAAAAAAAAAAAATCATTCCATCTCAAGCATCAATTAATTGTTATATGAGGCATAACACCTAAAATGAAGGAAGAAAATAAGTCAATACCCAAATAAAAAGAATAATTTTATGACAAATAAAATAATTGACACATATATACTATATAGTACATTAGTACTTACATATACAAAAAGAGGTTAGAAGATCTTGATAGCTAATTATCATCATCTTCATTCAAAGTGACAACACCAAGATCTATAATAATAAAACAAATTATCAAAGCAATAAATAATCTAATAAATAATTAAACTAAATAAACATCACTCTCAATTATAAAAAATATTACCAATTACATATACAAAAAGAGGTTAGAAGATCTTGATAGCTAATTATCATCATCTTCATTCAAAGTGACAACACCAAGATCTATAATAATAAAACAAATTATCAAAGCAATAAATAATCTAATAACTAATTAAACTGAATAAACATCACTTTCAATTGTAAAAATATTACCAATTTCTATTTTCTCAATTTCGTCCACCTTCTCTTCAACATCACTTGCTAATAGAGTAGATCGAAACCAATTATTTGCACAAATAAGGGCTTCAACCATCTTGATACCCAATGAACATCTATACTCATTTAGTATACGACCCCCAGTGTTGAAAGCATATTCAAAAGCTACAATGGAGATAGGCATGGCCAATACATCCCTAGCAATTTGTCTAATGACAGGATATTTAGATGAATTCACTTTCCACCAATTAAGTATGTCAAATTTGGGATTTGTTTTTTCTCTAGTCTCCATCAAGTAGAGGTCCAACTCTGATTGATTTTCAATATTATCATCTTCATTCATAACTTTATCAAACTCCATTGCAAATGAATCCTTTTCACCATCATCATAGGAAACACCTTCCTTCACTTGGGATTGAGTATTGGTTGAACTTTTTTTAAGGCCATGAAAAGACTTGTATCTATCATACATCTTGAAGAGTAACTCTTTCACTTGCCTAGTGAAATATTCAACCATATCTTCATTATAGAGTTTTTTCAAACTCCACTCCATAAATTTCAACTTGTACCTAGGATCAAGCACCACAGTTATAAAGATCATCATATTCAAATTATCAACATTCCCCCAATACTTGTCATGTTTTTGTTTCGTCTTCCTTG